TACGTATCGACAAGTCGCTCGTGGACATCGCTACGTAGTTGCCAATGTGCACCACCCATGGACATGCGCTAGCTTACGGGCCGGNATAGCGATCGTAAAAACTCTTATGGGCCTGGGAGTCGATTCTGTATCACGCAGTGTAGTGAAAATTACAAAAGTGAGCAAATTTACTAAAATATCTATGATCTTATTGGTCAACAACTAGTAAATTTGCTCACTTTTGTCATTTTCACTACATTGCATGGATACAGAATCGTCCTTCTGGCCACTCTCAGGCTTCTGTCTGATTCTGTCTTTGTTTCTCACTGAATACTGAACGAAGACAGAATGACTTTTGTGTCGACTTGTGTCGACTGTGTCTCCTATATATGTAATACTCCTATATGGCTAGGTGAGCAAGTTTTCCATAAGCGGGACTTGTTCCAACACTGATGGATAGAAGATAGATGCTTATTGGCTCTCCAAGAAAAAGTAGGAGGAGTGTTCAATAATTGGTAATGCGCAAGCGTTGCGAGAAAATTTAAACAGATTTATAAAAGGAATCTACTAGTTAGTAATTATTAAGAAAAAGAAATATAGAAAGTGGCTATAAATGGTTTTATTTTCTAATTACAAAAAGTTATACGTAAAATTTTATTAGATAAATATGTTCAAGGATTAAAAAAAAAATTAATTTATATTGTGCAAGAAAGTGAAAACAATATAGAAAAGAGATGAAATGAAACATTAAAATTTTTGGCACAATAATAAAAAATATCAGTGATGTAATATATTAATAAAAGCAACATAATTAAGTAAGAAATAGAATACAGCATGCAATATACAAGTGACACCAATATTGTACAAAAAAGAAATGTATTTATTTTAAAAATGTAAAATAATTATATTAATTTGATAAACAAATTACAATTTACATTTATTTTATATATAAAGTTATATATTATATATATATTCTTAAGATAAACTGATAATCACATTTCAGAGACATAATATATACATTAAAATTTACGCTTATAACTTACTTATGTAAGCAAAGATCTTTATTTTTGGCTTGTTTTTTGTTACAGACATAACAATACCTCACCATTTTGCACTGATTTTATCGTGTAGTACGTAATTTTCGTGCTACACAAATAGATTCAAAACAATGGGTGTGTTTAGCCGAAGTTAGCGCTACGTAGCGCTACGTAGCGGCTTCATGTAGCAGTTGTAATTGCTGCGTTACTTCTGCTGGACAGTATTGCTACGCGCAGCATGTTCTATAGAAGTAACGCAGCACTTGCAACTGCTACATGAAGCCGCTACGTAGCGCTACGTAGCGCTAACTTCGGCTAAACACACCCAATATCTTAGAAGACTTTCGAGGTTATACTTCACGTTACATGTGCTATAGATTTTCAGTACTGGCAGTGAATATCGGAACGCAGCCAATATACGCATTATGAATACATGTCACGCATGCGCTTTCGAACAAACTGAACAGTGATAAAGAGTAATAAAGAGAGTAGAGCATTGTCTGCACCGTAGTGTTGAAACCGCGCTGAGAGCTCAACTAGCCATATAGAAGTATTACATATATGGTGTCTCCTAAAAAGAAAGCAGCTTATATAGGGTGCGTTCAGACAACTCAACAGTTGCACAACGGTTGAGAGATAATCACTTCTGATTGGATCATACTTTTGGAACCGCTGCAAATTTTGAAGAATAGTCCTATCATAAATGATGATCTCTCAACCGTTGAGTTGTCTGAACGCACCCATATATAAGCTGTGTTCCAGAATTGCTGCCAGCACGCTGCCAGTACTAAAATTGTATAATATATGTGACGTAAACTATAGATCTTTAGTACAGTGAATTTTGGAACACAGCCGTAGTATGGGAAGTGCGCGAAACGGACGAGTTTTCGGTTATCCGGTTTTTCTCTTCTCAAATTGAATGCAGTATATACCAAATCACTTGCCACCTTGTCCACTTCGTCCGTATGTTGAGATTTGTATATGTGATATGTAATACTTCTATAAAGTCTAAAGGTGATACATTTCTCTGTGTCAAGACAATTATTAAACAAAAATCAGAATGAAAGAGGCCAGTATTACAGCGATTTTTGCGATTTTGGCGATTTTCATGATCGTACAAACACATAGTATTAGATTTTATCTGGAGCCGAATAGTCACAAATGTCTGAAGGAAGAAGTACACGCGAACGTGCTTGTCACGGGCGAGTACGAGGTGACCGAGGCAATAGGTCAAAAGACAGACTATGTAGTAAGTAAAATGTTCGAGATTGCTTACGTGACATGTTTTTCATACAAAGGATTGAAATGATGATGATGTTTTTCATCTTTCGCTGAAATATTGTAAAAGCAGGTTAACGACAGTTAACCTCGCCAGGGTGAGCCCACTAACAGCTGTTTTTGAGACTTGTTGCTTTCTTTTGCTGCAAATGTTGAGTTTGGTTAGCGATTTTTATGAAATTTGATTCGGTGAGTTGAATATATCCAGATAATAATTAGAATCAGTTGCTAAACAAAAAAGATTGCTTTTTTTGAGGTTAAGATATATTTATTACTTGATATTGACCGGCTTAATTTCTCTTTAATGTAAGGGCTTTAAACCTGGAAATCCTAAGTTTGAATCTGTCTAATATCTTAGGATTTTTCTGGGCCGATCTCTTTTTACCTAAACTAACCTAACCTTAACCTAACCTAACCTAACCTAACCCTAACCTGATTCCAGAGACTGTACATATATTGGATGTAAGGTGAATTTAGGCCTTCAATCAATATTACACATAATAATCAGCAGCATCAAAATTATCAAAAATTAAAAGACAACAACAGCATAGTGACTCAGATCTTATTTAAAACTGTAGGTTTACTGAAATTTATGAATTGTATATTTTTCCGCTTGTGAAGTTCAACAAATGAAAATAGAGCCAATACGAGCTGTAAAGAGGGTGTTCATGTTTACATGATTTGTTTTATTTTTAATGTCACATGTTTCGATCCATATTCCATACTAAAATCTTTAGTGACTATCTTGATTAAAATGAAAGTAAGAAGAACTCAGTTCTTGTGCATAGCTGTTCACTAAGGTGATAACACTTAGCGAAGGAAAGGAGGGACATTTTTAAAAGAACTTTTTTTTACATACATAAATTGCTTTAATGAAAAATATTATATTATATTTGTAAATAATTTTTTATATATTATTTTATTTGTAAATTATATATTTAATGCATTAAATGAGATTCTAATTAATATTGCAAAATAAAAATATCAAATTATGAGATCACATTTTAAATTTGTACTTTTTTACTGAATGTATTTTCTTAAATAATATTTGGGTTTTTTAATACAAAATCAAACTTCTTCACATGTTAGTTAAAAGTTATATTTTACACTTGTTATGACTTCCATTGTTTTTATCAATAATTGTGTTTTTTCGGGAGTTCATATTTGATTAAAGAAAGAACTTGTTCGACGCAAGCAGTTGTCTCTGAAAGACATAAACCAAATTCTATGAATACTTTCAAATTCTTTATGTCAATGTGCTACTGATTAAAATGTTGAGATATTTTTGGCCATCGTTAATCAACTTCTTTAGTGTTATCATACTCATTTTTTATTTTGTGACTAAAAACATACGTATTTATTTTATTCTTCTTATTTTGTCAATTAAGATATTGTTAATTAAGATCAATTTTTATAAATGTATATTTTACGAAACTAAACTTGTTGAACTGTAAACTCGATGACTCAAAGACTATGCAGATATCATTACTTCCTCACGACAACTGATAGACTGATAGGAGAGTCTACAATCGACTAATCACTGACTTAATCCCCTTGCACATGATGAATCTACATCGAAAATAAGGTGATGAATCTGAAATTTTTATTTTTATTTTTCAAGCTTTATACATTTTCTGAACCTGTCGATTAAAAACACCTAAAATAATGTAGAACTTAAAAAATGGTAAATAATGTAATGTTAGAATATACACATACTTAATCAATTATATTTTCCATTGATTCATATTGATTGTGTATATTGGATCGGATAATATACATCATAAAAACATGAAAAACATAAATATTTTCTACATACAGCGCATCTTATGAATACACACGCTATGCAATCACATTTTGATGAATAAACATTAAAAAAAAGACTTTAGTAACATATGAAAAAACAGTTTTTTCCAATTTTACGTTCTACATTATTTCAAGTGTTTTTAATCGACAGGTTCAAAAAATGTATAAAGGTTGAAAAATAAAAATAAAACTAATTTTCTAAAAATATTTCATTTATTTTACTATTATTTTATGCAGATAAATATTCTAAAAAATATACGTATATATACACCACATAAATATATGCCAAGTATTTAGTTTTATGTAAATACATAATAGATATACATATAAAATAGTTTTAAAAAATCATAAAATTAAAAAAAAAAAACAATTCATTGTTAGGTTTTGATTCAGCGTTCTTGATTTTACTAGTCTCGCGCTTACTCATCGCGCTACACAACACTTATCGATAACATCCCGGTAAAAACTTTTTCATATATACTTATACACAAATTAAAATAATTATATCTAATTATGCAAATTTATATGCCGAATATGTCCATACAATTTTATACATGGAGAATTTCTTTTTTTAAGAGAATGGCTTCAGAGATATTCCATATCAAATAACTATTACATATAAATAACTCTATTAGTATCATGTTAGACAAAAAAAGTATATAAAACTATATTTTTACTATATTTTAAAAAAATTTTTGATATATAATCATATATACTTATACACAAATTAAACTTATTATATCTAATTATGCAAATTTATATACCGAATATGTCCATACAATTTTATACATGGAAAATTTTTTACCGGGACGCCTTTCTTTACATCTTATACCCTATACCTGTACCTATACTACCGAGTGTTCCAAATTTCAAACATAAAACAATATTATTTAAAAGGCGCATTGGACCAAACGCTCGGACACGGATCAACTTATTTTTTATGTAGATTAATCATGTGCAAGGAAATTAAAATCGGTGATTAGTCAACTGTAGACCCTCCTTCTAAGTCAGTCTAGACGAAGATTCTAATATGGATCGAAACGTTTGACGTTAAACATAGAACAAATCATTTAAACATAGACACTTTTTTTACGGCTTGTATTGACCCACTTTTCATTTTTTGAAATTTATGAAACTTGAAATTTGAATCTTAAAACGCGTATAAGTTTAGTGTAGACTGGTGGGTGAAAGCCTGTGAGCTATTAAAAAACAAGTCATCACTTAATATTATTCGAGTAATTTGTTCGCTTATCACATTTGTGGGTCTCATTTTACATGGAATGATGCAAAACTAAATTCAATGTTAACCCTAATTCTTAGGGCCAAAGCACAGACTTTTGTATAACGCATAACGCACAAAACATAAGAGAATCAACCAATCTAGCCTTCCATTTTTATTCCTACTTCTTGTTCTAGAAGGCTTTAATTGGTTGATTCTCGTATGTCTTATCCGTTATGCATTATGCAAAAGTCTGTGCTTTGGCTCTTAGCGATAAATGTGAGATAAAAATTGATGATTTCATTGTTTACAGATTCAAGATTCTAAGGGTCATATATTGTCGCAAAAGGATGACATTCCCCATGGAAAACTGTTAAAATTTTCTTTTGTGACAGAGACATATGATACTTTTGAAATCTGCTTTGTTTCTCACGTTCCAAGCCGTATGAATTTGTTTATTATTGTTCTACTTGTTGTTTATTTGTTCTTCTACTTTAATTATATTATTTAAACTTGAAATGAATAACTATTCTTTTAGATCAACGTGGTATGAGACAAGAAGTCATGCTGATCACAAAACGTGGCATTGAAGCAAAGAGTTACGAAGGCGTAAGAGTTTAGAGATATTATTAAATATAATTATATTTCTTATAAATTTTCTACTATATAGTTTTTTTTTTTATAAAGTTTATACGTTATATATTATGGTTATTAAAAAATGAAAATATCTGATATTATTTTATCTTTCTGTTTATATGTGGCTTATTTCCAATGCGATGCAGTTGGTAAAGTAGAGATTTTAATATTGTGTTCTCACTGGCATAAATTTTATGACAAAACTGACACAATATGTCATAGTCAGCTATAGAACTAGGCCTTGAGCATAATAGACAAAATATTAAGAATAGGAATAAATATTAAATATTTTTAGAAAAAGTTTCAAATATATTACATTAAACAAGAGAATGGAATAGATTAATTATTCCACATTCTTATTTTTTACAATTAATAAAGAATTTTTTAGACTCCCAAGTTTCTAAACTAATAAATGTATAGACGGTCACGAGACCCGTTCAAAATCTCAATTCAAAAACTCACGTGTAAGATTTACACGTAAACACCTATATATATAGATATACACGCATATTTCCGCACAACATCCAGCGAACGGCTCTCATGACCGTCTATATATCTCTTAGTTCTTATTTCTTAATTTATGATGCATTAATTTATTCTATTTATTTATTTATTCTATTTTCTTGTTTTGTAAAGAAATAATTCAAATTCCTTATTTAATGTTTATTCTTATTCCTAATATTTTATCTATTATGTTCAGGGCCTAAGCTGTCAGAGCACAATTCTACTTATTTGTGCATGATTTTACAGCTGTTTAAAACTCCAATAGTTTTATTTTATTTATTTTATTTTTTGTATATAATATATAATAAATTTGAGAAAGTTGGATATTACCTATCTCTACACACACATTATTTTATATCAATCATAATTAAGAATATACACTTATCTTTTTTTAGTATAAAATAATACCGTCAGAAAAAATTTGGTTTTATTTTATATCAAATACATATGTAATTATCTATTATTTGATTTGGTACAGTATATGTGTTTGTTTTCACTAATTATCGATTGCAATATTTAAAAAAATATTGCTGCGAGTTTTATTAAAAGTGTGTCAGAAAAAAATTGAGAAAAAAGTTGTATGGAAAAAATTATTTGTTCTTTATAAATTTACAGATTGGTGAAGCAGCCAAGCTAAAGCCAGTAGAAGTAGAACTAAAACGATTAGAGGACTTGTCTGAAGCAATAGTCCAAGATTTTGCCAGAATGCGTAAGAATGAGGAAGAAATGAGAGATACAAATGGTAAAAAAACAATATTATATATAAAAATGAAACACCGTCACTGAGAATATGAAATTGATCGGTTCTTTTTGTTTTCAGAAACTACAAATGCTCGAGTGTTATATTTTAGTGTATTCTCAATGTGCATTCTTTTTGGCTTATCTACTTGGCAACTCTTCTACTTCCGACGTTTTTTCAGAATGAAAAAACTCATCGAATAAAAACTTGTAATATAATAAGTAAAATTTTTGAATAATTAAATTGCAAGGGACAATATTTTACAGAAACGCCACAGCATTTAGGGCATAACATAAACAAAAGAGAATAAATGTCACCTTATCATATATCACTTGGATCAGTGGTAACACAAAAAAAACTTTATCTCGCTACATACCATACCATTGTGTCATTGAGTCTGTAATACTTAAGAAGATGTAAGATATTTCTATAAATAAAAACAATTATATAACTGTAATTTCGTTATTTCGATGTTTGGTTTTAATCAGCATGCGTCGTTGCTGTAATAAGGTTTTTTTTTAAATAGACGTTCCGAAACCCTTTTTTAAAACAAAGTAGATATTTCATCATGTACTGTCTATTGACATGTAATAATTAGACTTACTTTTTGGAAAGAGCTTGAGAAAATCTCTCCAGTGTGCAATAGGTTGCGTATTTCCTGAGTGTTTAAATAAAATTTAAAACGCCTGAGAGATAAGTAACTCTTGTATGTTGAGTTGCCTGCAAACATAACTTGGGCATCGCATAGTGAGATAGAAACGCGTTCATTTACATCTTCTTTATTACTTTCCAAGAATTAGATAATTATTTTAAAATCATTTATGTGTGGTGAGTCTGATATATCAATAAAGTTTTTCTCAATCAATATAAAATACGAAGTATTACAAAGTATACATTATATATGTTGTAAATATTTTATTTATGAAATAGAAGAATCTTAGTGAAAACAATAAATAGTTTACAAAACTATAATCTATTGCTTGGAAGACTATTTAATTGTTGTTAAAAAGCAACTTTTTGTCTTCAACTAATTCAAAATTGTACAATTATAACTCTTCGTCCGCAGACCTAAAAAAAAACCTACGAGGTGCACCTATAATGCAAACTGGGTCTGTGCCCACGCGACTTTAAGATCAAATATCTTTACAAAAAATCAATATTTTTTTACTTTCTTTTTTTATTCGAAAGTTTAAACGATTTTTCGTCGATCAAAAAAACAGATTGAAAAACATTTCAAGTAGGTTCAAAGATATAAGCATTTAAAGAAAAGACAATTTTTTGTAAATATTCCATGGGTGGCAGCTCCCGTAGCTGCAAATCACATAATCTACACTCCATAAATCGCTGTAAATGTACATATATTTTGACAAAATTATGAAAACAATATATTAGTTCTCTAATAAGCAAATTATAAAAATATTACACTAAGTTTTGACAGAATAAATTGGCCAAAAATGGCATCATAAAATGACAAAACATTTCGGAATGATTGCACGTAGTTCTGACAGAATACAATTTTGTAAATATTGCTCAAAAATTAGAAAAGTCCAATTTAGAGATAAATATTTTATAGTATTTTAATTCTTTGATGCATAAAATTATACAATTCAATATTTGTAACAATGTAATGCAGCAAAACTATTTTGCAATATCTGCAACATTTTCGGATAAAATACTTATATTCTAATTAATAAATTACTTTCCGTTAATTAATAGTGATGGAGAATCTTACTTCTCACGATCTTTGGAACTCTGGTCAAAGCGTGATCAAAAAATGTTAACTGATTATTTTAAAATATTCAAACAATACAAGCATTATTGAAAGCTCAGTTCGCATGCATCTCAAAGAAACTGTTTTAATTCTTGATTTAACATTTTGGTGCTTTAATGTGCAATATTTCTACATTAATTTAGCAGTCATTGTGCATTTCTATAAGCATATACATGAATTAATTTAATTTCTTCATGTGCAATTATATTTTTACCTATTTTAAACATCACATAGCTAAAATTTTTTTTTCTCAATTATTGAACAATTTCTTTCTAAATTTAAATTTGCAAATATATACTGCGCGCTCTCTAATATGATTCGCCATATCGTTATTGTTTTGCAGAAATAGTATTTGAAAATTAAGTTTGCAAACAGTTACAAATATTCTATAAAAAATGAATTTTTTTACATCTATTTCTCAAAATATATCTATATAATTGCAAATTACAATTTTTATTCAAGAGTTTGTCATATAATTTCATAAATGTTTTCTTATCTGAATTGATATATTACAAGTGCTCAAACTAAAAAATATTACTTATTTTTCGAAAAACTAACGTCTCGCGCAGACCTGGGGATCACAATTGTGTATTATGCAATGTAGTGAAAATTACAAAATGGGCGAGTTTACTAAAATATCTATGATTTTATTGGTCAATAACTAATAAATTTTCTCATTTTTGTAATTTTTACTACTTTGCATAAATATCCAATCGATCCCCTGAGTCTGTCAGATCCTTTTCACATTTCACAGCTAATTGCAAATATGTATTCTGTATTCGCAAAGCTATTAGACGCTGTCAATGTCCTCTAGTGTTGGATAAGGTTCTAAAGTTTTTGTTTAGGGTCTTCAGATGTCGTTCAAAACTAATACCTATTAAAGACAACGGTTTGAAATTTGTGAGTGAGTCTAGGAGACCCAATGTGCAGATGAAAAGATGATTATGAAAAATATAAATATGACATGGAAAGAGAAAGAAAGAGAGAGAGAGAGAGAGAGAAAGAGAGCGAGAGAGAGAGAGAGAGCGAGAGAGAGAGAGAGAGAGAGAGAGAGA